TGTCGATGATAAGGATTGTCGATTTGTCGTCATGTTCTACTTTCCTGCCATTGTTCATCGATTCTTTGGTGTTGTGTTCTCCAGTGACTTGTGATGGTGCCTTGAAAAGATATGGTTGTGTGGTGTTCTCAAGTGACTTGTGATCAAACTACATAAGAACTAACTCCTCTCCTTATTCTATTAAATCAGATGTCATGAGTCTAAAAATTCAACCAGTCGATGTGAAAACAAAATAGCCATTAATAATTTTTTTTTTGTAGTGATTAGTTATCTAAGTGAATCTATCTTTCTTAATAAAGTCTTCTGCTTGACTTAAGTTCATTAAAAAAGATACATTCCAATCTACAAAAGGGATTAAGTTTAGGGACACGGTTACATGCAAAGAAGGTAAATAGCAATCCCATAGCACCCATCCTAAGAATGATACCAAATTAATTGTAAGTAATTTATTCCATATTCAATTTTATTTCCCTCAATTAGTTTTTATGATATTTTAATTACTTTAGTATCATTTTTATTTTTGGAACAAATAAGAATTCTTTGATGTTGAAAGCTGTCCTCCCGGACTCTAAGATTGGTGAAATGGTGAATATTCCTATTACGTCTTCTTTTGATGATTTCTCTTATTGGGTGCCTACCTCAAATGCTGTCTTTAGAACTAAGAGTGCTTGGGAAATGGTCAGATAGAAACAAACTGTGAATGCTTTTTTCAATTATATCTAGTATAGAAGTATTTTGCTTACATTTTCTTTCTTTATTTGGCAAGTCTTTCATGATTGGATTTCGTTTGAAATAAGATTAAAGGCAAAGGGGTTTCAGTTGACTTCTAAATATCACTGTTGCTGTTTTGAAGAGTCCCTAATACATGTTCTTTAGGATGGTGTTGACTTAAATTACATCATGTTTTGATTTAACAAAAATCAAATGCTTTCTTGAACTTAGTACCAAGCATTTGCAATTGTCTCAATTACATTTTTAATCCCCTAAGTTTATAAAATTGTTTGAAAAGCATACATCCTTAGAAAATATTTTACAAGCTTTCAAAAAATGCATTTTCAGCTAAGAAATTAAGAGAAAACATGCCTTGTATTGTTTATTTGAATATAGGTACAAGGCAATGAGAAAATAGCTGGAGAGAAGCATCCAAAAGTTATGGGAACTTTAAGACACAAGTTAAGAGTCCCTCCTAGAGAAGCTCAAGTCGATCTAAAGATTAAAATAGTGCAAAACTTGAAGATCATAAAGCTTTTGTAGACTAGAGAGGAAGCATAGTCAACCCTGCTCTAGAAAGATTAAGAAAATCAAGTTTAAAACAACCATAATTGAATCTGTTCATATGTTTCATGAGGTCTCCATTCTCCTTCATCTTTAAGTGATACAACTGTCGTATAGGCTGCAACCTGTTGGAAAGATTTTTTTGTCAAGTAAATCTTTTCCAACATTGCCCACAACCTTGGAGTAGAATTTTCATCAATAACATGGTTAAACATGTTATCTCTAATACAAAGCTAAGTAGTGATCACACACCTTTCCTTTAATTCTACCCATTTAGCATTTTTCATGCCATTCGGTTGCCCTTTCTCTTGCCTTAGCAAGGAGCGCATTAAACCTTTCTCTGCCACTATGTGAAACTATTCTTCCCATCAAACTTCTTAATTGAAAATTTTGAATAACCAGTAACTTTCGGCTTCCTTATTGAATCTTGATTATTGAACCTGAAGCTCTAATACTAGTTTGTTATGAAAATCGACCATGAAACAATAAAGATAAAATCCAAAGAAATCAAGCAAATAAAAAATCACAAGAATTCACATGGTTTGCCCTCTTGCCTATGTCTATGGAGTGAAATCCTTCTTCTATTATTGAAAAATTAAAATATAAGAAATTGACCTCTATAGTTTTCTAAACTAACCCAAGATCCCTTGTACATCATTTCTCAAGAGCCTCTCAAAAATACTCACCCAAGCCACTCTAGCTCTACCTACAACAAAAGGCTGAGTTATAAGGTATTCCCTTTTTAGAGCACCCGAAGCACTACACACACTTCCAAAGCCTATAGATTCACTTTTATAATATAAAAAGTTCAAAGTAGAATATGATTAGAACTCGATGTCGAACAAGAAGTTTAAAACCATACAACTACTTAATGTTGTACACAAATAGGAATTCCAGTTAAATAAGATACAGAATTCTAGTCAACTTAAAACTCAACAAGAGCATATTGAAACATTTTGATTCTTGAAAATCCTTTGAACACATGAATATTAAGATGTCAGAAATACTCCAAATTTGATGTTCATTCATTTAACCTAAGCTTATTTGCGTGTTTTCCCTTAACTATGGCTAGATTAGTTGCTAAGCTTTGTGGTTCATTAAATTATTCAATTTGTTTCAAATTAAGGCTCAAGAAGTTGTTGTATTCTACAAAGGTTTTTGTGGAAGTGTTTTCGTTTGGACACATAGAACCCAGGTAGATATTTAAAGCCATCTTGAGCTTCTAAGGTATAACTTCAGCTATAACAGTTAGTTTTTGTTGTAAATTAGTAAAGTGGCATGTAAGGTATGTATAACCTGATTATGTGGGCTGTATATTAGGATAGCTATTTGAGGCCTTTATGTTAAATTTGAATGCTTTTGAATCCTGGGTTTATAATATCATCTCTTGAGGTATTAGTGATAACTTTATTATGTAAAGTTATTTAGCTATAATTTGGGATAATAAAATAGCTAAGTCCTAATGTTTCAAGTCAATTTTAAATAGCTTTTTGATTTTTAGTTAATAAATTCAAAGCATATTGATGTACTTTAATTTTAGTAATTTTAACTCAAATTTATGTTGAAAGGCTCTATTAAGTCAATACTGATTTGGTCTTTGATATTGTAGATTCAAATGTGCCTAAAGTTGAATGTTGGCAAGCAAGGCAACGGAAACCAAGTGCAAACTTCTACTGAACATGCCATGATTTTTGGGTCATAACTTCATATACAAAGGTCCAATCAACATGATTCTTGGACCATTACAAAGTAGAGAGGCAGATCTATAGCTTTCATGTTTACCATTTCATTGGGATCAGCCTTGAGTAATAGAAAATCAAGTTTCAAGATGAGGCACTTCAACAGACTACACCATAGCAACACAAGAGTTAGCAGTGTGGTGGCCTTGTAGAGCTCAAGGTTACAATGCCCAAAGGTGTACCATGGAATCCATGCAAAAACCTGAGAGCTTAGTGCCACAGCACCCAAAAAAGAGCTTCGCAGCATTGGTTGGAAGACGGACATAAAAATTTTTATAAGTCATGAGTGCCGCAACCTTGCCGCAACGCCCCTAGGGCAAGGTTGCGTCACTTTGATGTGGATTAATGATATGGAACCAATCGGGAAATGAGCTTTTAAGGTTTTTTGGTGACTATAAATAGGTCTTTTTAGCAGTTGAGGGATGAGGTGAGTAGAGGAAAGGAATGGTACGTTTTGAAAGAAAAACAAGAAGGTTTTCAATGAGAGAAACGAGAACAAATCGAAGGAATCAATGATCATGAATCGAAGAGGCTTTGATATTTCTTTACCTTTCATTCCTTTCTTGTTATTTTGCGATAGAAATGATCTTTTCTCTTGACTTAATCATGTCTGTTGTAAATACAATGATGAACTAATTTGGTTTTCTGGGATTATGGGATATTTCATAAAGGGCGTTTAGAATAAATCTTAGTTTTTAATAGCCTTTATTCGATTCACTTCAGAATAAGGTTATAGTTTCATGTTTAGGATAGACTTATGCCTAAATACCTTACGCAACCATATTAGAACACGAAATAATGAACTTTTTCTAATTAATTTACATAGACATGTGAGATTAGTTTTGAAAAGGTATGTGTGCATGATCTCGACAGACACATGTATATAATTTGAATTCTAGGTTAGCTATGTATTATATTAATTGAAGTTAAGGAGGATGATTTAATTTAGATGAAGTTTTGGTAAAAAACACCATAATCTTAGGTTTTGAGTAAATATATCTTATAGTGATATTCTATGCTTCATTAATTATTTAATTAATTAATAAGTTTTAACTTTATTAATCTTTTGAAATCGAGTGTTTGGATAAGATTATTTCGTCAGAAGTTTAACACTTAGTAAGCATAAATACAAAACTTTGTGGAAAACAATACTTGACGTACTTTATATTACTGATACAGCCACATGTATTTACGTGTATTAATCTGACCAACAATTTGCTCATGCTATATTTTGGGGCTTGACGAAGTTGGGCAATGGAAGTTGTTATGTTTTTGCTTAGCTTGTTGTTTCAGGTCTTTCTTTCCTCGTTTGTTTCGTTGTGTCGCTGTTTCTTTTATTGACGTCAATTTTAGGATGATTTCCTCCATTCTCATTTAGGTTTCATATTTCTTTGAATAATATTTTACTATTCATCCCACAGTGTCTCTTCCTCCCAAAATTCCGTTTACCACTTTTCCATGTTCTTTTGCCCTTTACGAATTCTCTTTTTCTCTCTCCTTTGTCAACCAATCAATAGATTGCTTCATTGAATAAGAGTCTATAGCTTATCTAAAGAAGATATTTATAAAGTTTCGCAAGCAAGTACGTTAAACCTATTTTTTAAAATTATTATGCATCCAAAATAATCATATTAATTATCAACTGTCGTGTTTTTATATAATAATATTATTATCTTAATTAATTTTAAAAAATACTTTAAAAATAAGTTAATTATATATATATATATGTATAGTTTTAAAATTAGAAGAAAAACAGTATGATGAATTAATTAGACATTAAAATTTAATACATTCTTTCGAATCTTTTTCTTGTATCTGACAATTCATGTTTTCGTATTTTAAATGTCTCAGACACGATTAGATACGAAACATGTTAAGATTAAACACGATCACAATACAAATAATATTTGTGTATTAAATTTAAAACACGTACATATATACGTTTAATAACCGTGTAATACTATACGACACGATTAACATTATTAAATATGTCAATATATAACGCAACACTATTAATAATATGATTAAACAAAAAATATTTACAATTAAATATAATTTTATTATTTAAATTTAAAATCAATAATTGTAAAAACAATATAACAAAACCGAATAATAATTATGTCAAATATAATAAAATTTAACATACATAAATCAACCGTAGCCACTGAGTGAGCTGAGCGGCCTTAGCGAAATCGCCTTCTTCTCGTGCCTTGAGTATATGAAACAGGAGAGCCAGACGAAGATGTGTAAGCGCACTTCGCTGGGTAATGAGTTCAGTTTCTTTCTTTAGCACTTGACATCCCATTTCAATAGCCTTGAATTTCTCTCGAACCTGTGATTGTCCTTCTTTGATGCTTTTTTGCTTCTTGCCAATCTCTTCGATATCTGCCTTTAATCGTCTGTATTTGACGTTCAAATCTTTTGTCCCATTTTTCTTCTAGCCATTGAACAATTACAACAGAACTAATTATTACAGGCTTCGTTAAACTTTAGCATGCGAGTTTCAACCAACAGCAATACAAAAATGAGCAGTTCATCGTACATACCTTATGCTTATATTGTATATTTAAGCGACTCTTCCCAAGCACCATCCTGGCAACACGACGACGCATTGAGAAAATCCTCATCCTCATCTCGTTTGAATTTAGCTGCAAAAACGATGAAGCAGAGCCACCTTATGTAATATGCAACCATTTCCGGCTCTACTTATATACCTGAAAATGGGAAAGCTGCCTTTAACTTTGCGCAAGTTTTTCGTTAGCAAATGAACATAATCGTGCGATAACAGGCCGATTCACTTTTTCAACTTTTATTGGCTACTGCCTTGTCTGATTCATGCTGTTACTGCCGAATACAATCTAAAGAAAGCTAGCTATGTCCACTTGCAAGGCATGGGAATGCAATTGCATGCAAGTCGTCTATATTTGACTTTCAAATCTTTTGTCGTAGTTTTCTTATTATACTATTATCTCTGGTTGATGGAGCTGTCAATATGTAAATTGAGAAGACCAAGACGGAATCTTCGATGTAACGTTTTGAGACCTTATTATAATCGTTATTTTTTATCTTATTTGGTATTAGTTTTGATTGGATGCCCTGACAACATCCCACACGGACACCGACCAACTGTCTTTGCCGACTTATAGATGACTCATCCAGCCAATCTCAATAAGCTAGGAATTAATAGATCTAAGGATTGAGTTGAACAGGGTATCCTCAAAGTGAAAAGCTGTACGCGATTGATCAGCTTTTCAAAATTGCTATATATACCCTGCTAAGAAATCTCTATTATATATATATATATATATATATATATATGTATATGTAAAAGTGACTTCCAAAGCTAATGTTGCAATTGGCCTCAATTGGAAGGCCCCTTTCTTTTTTCCCTCCAATCGATCAAAACTACGTCGGTTAGCATGAGCAAGATTGACATTAGTTTGCACATGAATAGGGAATGGAATTTTTCTTTGTTTAGTCAAAAGACAAACTCCACAAATCAAATCTTTTTAACTTTGAACTTCTGAACAATGCTTATGAATTACCTTTATTCTTTTTGGAGGAGCATAACTTAATCTAAAATGCCACAAATCAAAGTTGGGATGTGTAACTATACTACTGAAAACTGAAGACATATTGACAGAATCAATGACTTTATTGAAACTATACTTAAACAGAACTTGCTCATCTTTATTAACTTGCATGAACTATAAGTCTGCAGTGACTTCAGCTACCCAAGTCACCTTGCATGAATTCAGATCTTGATTCTTGAACAACACATATCTCATCAGTAAACCAAGTACGATTTGTCTTTGAACTAATAAGTTTACTCACAGAAATGAGATGAAACTTGAAGCTAAGAACACATAAGACATTATTCAGGGTAAGAGATGAAGTAAGTTTGATAGTCCCAATATGAGAAACTAGAGCTCTAGCTTTATTTGGAAGATGCACAAAACAATTAAAAATAGGTTTAGCAAAAACAAAATTATTCAAAGAATAAGAAATACAATCTGTTGCCCCTATATCTACTATCCAAGAATTACGTTTAATAATGAAAGCAATCACATTTCAATATTTGGATGGAAGATTATTAGAATTATTGCAACAAGTGATACTAGAAATGATACCTGCAAATGCATAACTGAACAGAGAATGTTTGCTTTGTTGAGTAGTTGTAGGATTTTCCTTACCATCGTCAATGTTAATTCCATTTTCATTCAAGAGATTCATCAATTTACTGACTTGCTGCTTAATGAGTGACATTTGGAACATGGTGCTATTTCCAGCAACCTCATCATCTTGTGCAGGCTGTTTTCCTTCCATAATAGATGATTTTCCCTCAACAATTGAAACATTATTCACTGACTTGTCTCTCTTGTATTCATTTTTTCCCTTTATTGAACTTGAAATCCTTAAGAAAGCTTATCAACTTGTAACATTTTTCTTTTGAATGGCCTTTCTTATTGCAATGAGAGCAAATGACATCTTTCTTGAATTTCTTCTTGTCATCTGTTACAACTGCCATAACAGAAAAATCTAACACTAGTTGACCTTGTATAGCAAGTTTCTTTGTGCTTCTTCCCTCAACACCATACTATATATCTTATCCAAAGTAGGAATAGGATCTAGCGAAATTATTTGTGACCTTATAGCAGAGTAGGAATCATTTAAACCATTTAAGAATCTAAAAACCATATCCTTTTAGTATTGATTTGAATACTCTTTAAAGCAATTAGGATTGCATTTACCACACTCATGTGGTGGCAGTGGTCTATAATTCCTTGTTTCTTCCCAAATCCCATTTATTTTGATGAAATAAGCATCCACAGACCTTGTTCTTTAAGATATGTTTCCCAAAGTAAATTGTATATTACATACACTTATGTCATCAGGCTGTGAGAAATTTTGTCTCAAAGTGTTTCAAATTTCTGCAGCAGAGTCCATGTAAAATACAATTGAAGCTATAGGAAGGGTTATTGACTCTAATAATCAGGCTACAATCAAATTATTGCACCTTGTCCATGAATCAAACAATGAATCTGTGATAGCTAATTTAGCAATAGTTCCATTCAAGAACCCTAACTTGTTCCCAATTGAAATTGCCAAAAGAAAAGATTTACTCTATGGAACATAATTGGTTATGCTAAGCTTATGAGTAATTACAACTGATTCGAGATGAACAGAATGATGTAAAAAATAAGGCGACAGTGGATATTGAACTGGAGAAACAACAGACTTAGCTACTGTACACTCTTCCATCAAGAACTTAGAAGTTACAAGGATAAGCAGCAAGATTCAACAACCAATTTCACCAAGAATGATGCTAAAACTACTAACAATAAAAAACAAGTAACAAGAGTTTCGAGGTAATGAGAGTTTCAAAATCTCTAACTTAATCGCTCTGATACCATGATAAAACTAGTAAAGGAATGATAAAACCAGCAGAGGAATGAAAAGAAAACTTAAGAGACAATTGATGAGAGAAAAAATGATTTTTGCATTACTGAATTAGTTAATACAAGGGGTATTTATACAAGCAATGAACTAACATTGAAGACAACTAACAATTAACTTTTAACTAATTACTTAAGCATGGTAAAAGTAATTAGTAAAATAGTAAAATAGTAAAACTATACTCTAATCCTATAAAAAAATTACAAGTGTTCCTTTTCCTCTGTGACTTAATGGATGAATAAGTCTTCTGATACTCTGTTCTTCAATTGTAGTCAGGAGTTCAACCTTTTTTAAATAACATCTATATATTTCAGTATGATTTGCTGACTAATTTTGATAAGTTGTCATTTTGTTTGTGTTGACTTGTGGCCTTGCCCGAAATACTGGCTAGAGCATTATGATCATTATGTTATTTGGTTTTGATCTCTGCTTCTATGAATTGGAAATCTTTAATGATGATTCCATTGTGAATTGGGTGAAAAACAAGGTGTAGGCCAATATAAGGTGTTTCATTTCATTGTTGTGGTTTCTTTAGAGGGGAATCGAGAGTGGATTATGGAGGAATTTCTCGAGGCTAGAAAACACGTAAGAGGCATTTGAAAGATGGGGAAAAATGTTATGAGACTAGGACTTGCCTTATGATAATTAGGTTGTTTGATTTGTTCACATCTTTTTTTTTATTTTTTTGAAAAGTATGAGAATTATCATTTCAAAACAGAATTGTACAATTAAGAAAGGCAAACAAAATCCTATTGCGTATACAAAATAAAGGGGTCGACATAACTGCCCTTAGCTCAACTTAAAAGGCTCTCAAACTCCCTTGTACATGTACAAAAAAACAAAAAACACAATGAATCTACACGACCATATAGTATTACCCAAAAACCAAAAGGTTCATGTCATCTTGCACAACAGGATGATTGAAACGTTTTGATTCTTACTTGATGGTTTCTCATGGTATGGGGTGTCATTAGGGCAATGGTGGTTGTTATATTTTTAGATCTGCCAAAATTTTTAAAATTTTCTATATATTATATATATTTTTAATAGCCTTTAAAATTTTTTTTATTTTTTTCATTTATATTGTTTATTACTATTTTTTTTTTCAATTCTATTCTATTTACTCATATATTCTAAGTTTTTTTTATAGATTTTCTTCTTCAAATTTCTATGTACCATCAATCATATTCTTCATTTTTTTTTGTTATGTGAGTTCTATCTTCTACTTGTCAGGTTCTTCTTTTGTATTACGTGGATTTTATTTTCAATGATTTTACTCTTTAAAAATTTAAAAATTATTATGTAACTCTCAAATATAAGTTATAGGGTTGCATTGCTGGTTGTTGCTTACAATTTCACTAAAATATCATTTTTTTATTAATCTTAATTACATAAGAAGAAATTATCTTAAGTATATTTTTTTATCTGCTCTACATTTTTTATATAGTTGAAAGGAGATTATCTTGAGTATTTAATGTTTAAACAATCCTAATTATATAAAAGGGAATTGTTAATGCTATATATAATATTTAACTATTTATATTTTTTTGTATTATATTTTATATTTGGTATTTTAAATTTAAATAAAAATAAAATAAGAATATTAGATGTTGACTGCATTAATTTTTTAGTTGTTTATATTAAGAAAGACAAGACTCTAGAATAAAATAGATAATGAGTTTCTTATTGATAATTTAATTGTTTATATTGAGAAAAACATTACTAACCTTTTCAGCACAAAATTAATAATTGATGAATTTGAATGCAAGAAACATGGTTGAGCACTTTTCTAAAATGCTATTATAAGTTTTTCTTAATTTTTTTTATTTACGTATTATATAAAATTATTGTCTATTTTGAATAGTTTCATTATTAATGGTTAAATTCAACATATTAGTTTTAAAAATTTTTAACCTTATTCTTATTAGTCTTTAACCTCCCAACAAAAATTGGCTAACCACGCCCCAGCTTGTTGTCTTGTTCCTCTCGCTGGTATGTTTTTGGCTGATATAAGGAGGTCTATTTTTGGGTGATTTTATTGCAATATATTTCATGTTCTGGGTTAGCGATGTATGCTTTAGGTGTTTCCTTCATGTTAAGGATGTTTTCAGGCTATGGCCTTGTCTTCTTAACCCAGATTCTCCTTAAAGAAAATCTTGACTTGCTTTGTTTGAAGCATATAGGGTATGTACACAAATTTCTAGTCGAAATATCTTGACTTGAAAATTATGAAATAAATATAAATATTTGATGATGTAAGTTATAATCTCTGGAAATCTCTTTGATTAATTTCTTTACTTTGCCTTCAAGAGTCACGAACTCGGACTTAATCTTGATCACAAACTTCGCTTAATCTTCACTTCAAGAGTTTTCAGACTTAATCTTAATCACGAACACTTGATATCTTCACTTTAAGGGTCTGGACGACTTGATCTTAATCATGAACTTCGCTTGATACCTTAATCACGAACTTCGCTTGCACTTGATCATGAACTTTGTTGGCGCTTGATCTTGATCACGAACTTCGCTGGCGCTTAATCTTGACTTCAGAAATCTTTTGGTCTTCTTAATCTCTGAAATGCTCTTAATTTATTTAGAGATAAATTAAATAATCTAATAAGATTTTTATTTTTAAATTAATATAATTATTAGAGATAAATTAAATGATCAAAAATTAAATTTTGATTGGTCAAAAATATGAATATTATCTTTAAATTATCTTGATTTGTTTAGAGTTAAATTATATGATCAATAATTAATTTTTATTAATTCAATTTAAATATTATCTCTAAATTATATCAGGAGATATATATAAAATAATCTAACTAATAAATTAGTTATATGATTATGATATCATCAAATTCACATAGTGACACGTAATTGGCTGTTGCTGATATTTGATTTGTTCGAACCAAATGTTGTCTCTTTGCATAGTTATTTTGAGCGGATTGGTCTGCGAATGTTTTTGAAAAGGAAGAGACAGTCCTGGGCATTTCGGGATAGGCTCCGATCTGCCTTTTAGATACTTTTCTGGATTGTATTCTGTTGTAATAAGGCTTGTACTGCCAAACTGAACAAAGCCTTGTAGCAGCACTTCGTATCTCTGGTTGATGAAATGTACGAAGTATTGCCCTTGACGTATTCTCTTTTTCTCTCTCCTTTGTCAACCAATTAAAAGATTGCTTCATTGGATAAGAGTCTATTTTTTCAAATTATTATGCATCCAAAATAATCATATTAATTATCAATTGTCGTGCTTTATATAATAATATTATTATTCTAATTAATTTTAAAAAATACTTTAAAATATATTAATTTTATTTTTATATATATAGTTTTAAATTTAGAAGAAAAACACTACGATTACCTAATTAGACATTGAAATTTAATACATTCTTTCCAATCTTTTTCTTGTACCTGACAATTCATGTTTTCGTGCTTTAAATGTGTCAGACACTATTAGACACGAAACATGTTAAAGTTAAATACAATCACGATACAAATAATATTTGTGTATTAAATTTAAAACACGTACACGTATACATATACATTTAATAATCATATAATACGACACGACACGATTAACATTATTAAATATATCAATATACAACACAACACTATTAATAACATGATTAAATAAAAAATATTTACAATTAAATATAATTTTATTATTTAAATTTAAAATCAATAATTGTAAAAACAATTATAACAAAACCAAATAATAATTATATCGAATATAATAAAATTTAACATACATAAAATTCATTATCATGCCATATGATAAAATCCCTCATTAACATATAACTTTAAAATACTAATAATATCTAAAATCATTCATAATTTTCATCCAAAATTAAATACATATTATTAACCATATCATCAACCATGAATAATTTCAAACACCCAAACCAAAATTATTTAAGTAAAGGTACAATAGTCTTTGACTATTAATTTTTAACAAGTTAATAAACGTGTCACGTATACACGTTTAAACATGATAACACGTTTAAAATGATTAACACAATTAATTAAACATGTTATTAGTATCTGACATGTTTAAGACACAACGATTAGATACAAAACACGTTAAGAATAAATCCAAACCTGTTTAATCCGTATCTTTTTATATCGTGTTCAAAATTATCAGGTCTACTTTTTCCTAATACACGTAAATCGTGTATTCAAGTTAAGGTTACTTAATGAAATATAACAGCTTCCAATTTAAATAACTCCACCATTGGTCGCTTTCCATGTCAAATAAACGTCTCAAATTATCCAGTGATAGTTCTCTTGAAGACTAAGTGGTGGGAACCTTCAACAGGCAATCATCTGTTCCTCCACGCCGACTATTGCATGTTATCCCTGGCTATTAATTCACTGTAAGAAAATGGAGGAAACTTTGGTCAACTTTTGTTCTAATTTTTGATTATATTTGAAGCAAAACCATGATAGAAAACCAACCGTAGCCACTGAGTGAGTTGAGCGGCCTTAGCGAAATCGCCTTCTTCTCGTGCCTTGAGTATATGAAACAGGAGAGCCAGACGAAGATGTGTAAGCGCACTTCGCTGGGTGATGAGTTCAGTTTCTTTCTTTAGCACTTGACATTCCATTTCAATTGCCTTGAATTTCTCTCGAACCTGTGATTGTCCTTCTTTGATGCTTTTTTGCTCCTTGCCAATCTCTTCGATATCTGCCTTTAAACGTCTGTATTTGCCTTTCAAATCATTTGTCCCATTTTTCTTCTAGTCATTGAACAATTACAAGCTTCGTTAAACTTTAACATGCGAGTCTCAACCAACAGGTATACAAAAATGAGCATTTTATCTTACATACCTTATGCTTATATTGTATATTGAAGCGACCCTTCCTAAGCACCATCCTGGCAACACGACGACGCATTGAGAAAATCCTCAACTTCATCTCGTTCCAAGGTAGCGGCAAAAACAATGAAGCAGAGCCAGCATATATAGTATTAACAGTTTCCTTGTCCACTCAGCTGCCCTGCCGAGTTTCTTTACTTTGCGCAAGTTTTCCGCAAGCAAATGAACATAATCGCGCGATAACGTTCCTGCTTTAATGCTCTTTAACTTTTATTGACGATGGCGTCAAAAAAGGCTAGCTATGTCTACATGCAATGCATGTAATTGTACAGCTGCATATAGAAATTGCATCAAAGTCGTGCTTGGTGGCGTAAAACAATTAATTTTGGTTTGCATCAAATTGCATCAATAATGTTTGTGCTGTGATTTGGTTTGCATCTTAACAGCTAAAAATTCGTGGCCGCTGGTTTTCTTGCAGAGTCATTTGGTTTACCTATCAAACGGAATCTTCCATGGAACAATTTAAGACCTTATTACAATCGGTATTTTTTATCATGTTTTGTATTAGTTTTGTAATCAAATTTAAAAATTGTGATGTACATAAATATTTGACTCATTAATTGTTGTATGATTCGCTTACCTAAAAAACAGAATTCAAATTCTTTTTTTCCATTTAAAAAAAAAATTAAAGATTGTCATTACATATAATTCCAATCACAATATTCAAGACATGCTCTTAGAAGTTTCATGTTCACATTGCTGGATTAAGGCTGAGAAAATTCAGTCAAAAACAAATTAATCAACAAATTCTAAATCGGTTAAAATTACATGTATGCACTCACACAGATTTTTAAGACGTATATATGATTGAAGGACTAGATTTAATCATCAAGAGGGATTTTCTTACATATATTAACTCACACATTTTTTTCTATACTTATATATGAATAAATGATTTAGATTTAATCATCAAAATATAATGAAAACTCTACCTAAGCTTAAGTTATTAATATAACTTATTATATTAACTTATTTTTGTATTAAGTTATTAATATATTATACTATATATAGTATATTTATCAATATATAATAAATAGTCTATACTTTATAGACTATAGACTATGGTAACTTATTTTTTTTATAAATTATTAATAAACAATAGAAATATAGTATAACTTATATTAACATCGTAAGTTATACTAAATTATTAATATTAGTGTACTATAGTAATATAAGCCATATTAATAACTCACTATAATATAAAATATAACAATACATTATATATATTATAAAGTATACTTATTAATATACTAATTAGTCAATAACAATTTACTATTACATATAACAATATACTATTATATAGTATATATATTTATGACTTCTTAGTATACTTATACACTATATAAGTATAAATTAACTATATATAGTGTACTTGTTTATACACTAATTAGTCAATATATAGCATAACAAGTATATTATATAATATATTTATTAATATACAGTAATTTATCGCACTCGAACATTTAGCTTATTAGTTAGTGCATTATTCCTACTTAAAAGTAAAGTTCAAATCTTCCCTTTCTCAATTATAATATATATATATACACTAATTTGTCCAAAATTATATATTAACAATATACTATATTATTATATTGAGAAATTTATAAATAATAATGTAATAGGTAGTAACATTTGGTTAAATTGTTTAATGATATTCTTTGATCAAATTAACCATTTTAACCGAATACTCACTTCTACTCGAAACGCCTGCATGGAAATTCAAGAGTTGAGAGAACTACTTCTAGCCAATTATATCACCTAAAATTTTTATGTACCAAAAACTTAAACATTGGAGGATATTTGTGGATGAGCCTTATAGTGAAAAGGAAGATCCTCAAGTTATAAGCGAATGAGTTGTCACTGAGTCATCTCTGTTGGGCCTCTTTTACTAAATTGTACCCAAAAGTCTAATTACGGGACCGGCAGTCTTTGCCGACTCAGAGATGACTCATTTAGCCAATCGCAACAAGATAGGAAGAGATTAGAGATCCACGTGAGGATTGGTCAGCTTTTCAAAAAGTACAATTGCTAGATATATTAGAGGTGTCTATTGATTGGGCTGGGTTCGGTTATTATGTCAAACATTTAAGATTGGGGTCGTCTCATCTCTTTAAATTTATTTATTATTAAAATAGTTGAAAAATATTTTTATATTATAAATATATTTTAAAATTAAAATTACATAAAAATTAAGTATTTTAATGAGAAAATAATCTCAAGGATCGGTCTAAGTGTGGAAAATCTTATCCAAAACCTAACCCATGGAGAGGTTTATGTTAGATTCTCTTACAAATCAAAACGTGGACTTACATCATTTATTTTTGTATTTTATTAAAATCAGACTAAATAACTTTAGTGTTGTTAAAAAGATAATATTATAGTTCATAATATGATTTAATAAAGTGAGATAGACTCCAATGTTATTTGTGGATTTGAAACTACAGGCTTGTCTAGGAAATCCTCAATCCTATGATAGGTGGGATTAAGAATTCACTATATAAAGGAAAGGCTAGATCCCTCTCCTATCTACAACAGCATAAAGATCCCACCTAATGGAAAGTTATAAAGAAAATGAGAGGAAAGTCTTAGTGCACTAAGTATCAATAGTTAATTTGGTTAATATTATTTTTACTATTAAACTATGGATGAAAAATTATGTACGCTTTTGTATTATAAATTCCTGCTATGGTACATCTTGAATTAATATAAATTATTTATACATAAAGTCTAACAATTCATATAAGAGTTTGTCATAGTTTGAATATAAAAGTCAATTAAACTTTATATTATGTGCTTTTGCACAAATTTACCATGTTTAAGCCAAGATTTTTATGGGTTCAGAAATTTAATTTTTGGTTATTAGGGTTTTGTTCTTCTTATTACAGGGAGAAATTAAAGTTTAAAGTTTCAGGTTTGGAATTGAAACCGAATTATTGATTTGATTAAAATCCTTAAATTTTTTGTGTTTAAGTTCGATTTTATCTCTATAGATCACTTGTTACATGTTATTGAGATGAATGATAACTTTTTATTGCCTAAAAATCAGGTATATAGGACAAAATATTGAGAAAAATTAAATATGGGTCATAAATGGGTGTGAAACCCGAAAATTTGCTCTAATTGATCTTGTTTCACAATGTTTTTATGAGTTTTATTACATGGGTATTATAAAACAAAGTCTTAATTGAGGTTTGGAATGGTCAATTCATCAAAAGCATGAACTTCATTCTTCCCTGACTTCTTTTATATTTAGATAACTAATGAACTTCATTCTTCCCTGACTTCTTTTTCTTTTTATTATTGCATTTATGTTTTAGTATATGATTGAATTGATTTGTTTGATTGTAGTGATTGTTTTTTGATACCCAATAATAATATTTAATTTACTTTTATTTATAACAACAAGACGAGATTATGAAAAGCTCAAAGGGTTTGAATGTATATAAAGAAGCAAGTTTCATAACCTTTTTAATCTAATTTTGAAATTGTGCAAATCATTTGGTTATGATGCCTTAGCATTAGTTGATATTTGTGGCTTTAGATAGAGAGGTAAATTCTACATTCTTTTTAAGCTGATATTGATGAGCATTCTATGACGAAAATCATATGGCTATTATGTCTTACCATTACTTGATACATGTTTATCTAGAACTTCCTAAAAATTTCCTTTCCATTACAGTTGTTTTATTGCTATTTGCTAATGAACACTTTATAGTGAAAATCATATGGCTATTATGTCTTAGCATTGGTTGATATATGATGTTCTAGAACTTGTTAAAAATTTCCTTTCCATTACAGTTATTTTATTGCTATTTGGTCATCATCACATTCTACAAAATCAACTTTGAAACAATATTTCTAATTTATGTTGTTCATATTTTATTAATATGCATTGCTGGGGTATCAACTTAGAATGTTATTATTTTGACAATGACTACTTAAACATACCTGTATTTAAGAAACCTTTTATGAATGAGTTCTAGAGAGGAGCAATGGATATTTTTTACTGTTCAGTGAAATTATATTAGTTTGATTAGTTAATTCTTAGAAAAATAGTTAATTGAAATAGAGTTCAAAATGTAGTAGTGTAAGAGCACAATTACAAAAAAGAAAATGATTGGGAGATCTCCACTAGAATCCCTTTTCATATAGAAAACCAAACAAGAAAGGTATGAAATATGAACCTAACTCACTGTACTTGCTTGGCGGTCATTGCAATAATAATTGATGAAACAATTCTTAATGAAGTTATGAAACAATTCTTCATTGTATAAGAATGAAGAATGTACGATTGGACCTTGATAAGAAGAGAACAACTAGGCATATATACTTGGCCTTTTGAGGTTGACGCTTCTCCACAGGTAAGAATCTAATCCTGAGCCTTCCCATAACCAATTTATTCTTCATACAAATGAGTTTATTTTTGTTTTTCAATCTCTGCTCTTGACTTCCATTTTATAGTAATTTGATTTACTTTGTGCACTCATTTGCTGTGTAGTTTCGGTGATGGCTTTTGTCATGTTTTTTTAATTCTCATTGTTTTGATTTCTATTTTTTTTTTTTGGGCTCAATTTGATCTTCTATTGCCATCATGTCTATTGATATTATGTTTATGTACACTTTTTGACTATCAAAAGATTAAAAGAAAAATCCTTTTGTGACATCTGAATAATTGGGTTAATTTTTTTGTTTTTTCCTTTTTGGCCTTTTTAAATTGCTTTGTTCAATTATTATATTTTTCAGATACCTTCTATTTATTTCCAACTCATATAATTATTCAAATGTTGTTTATTTCTGATTAAACATAAGGTAATTTCGTTTTTACTTGGTATTCTTTTTTAAGTGAAGAGAATGATAATTTGAACTTATGATTTATTTCTTTTTTTATGCAGTCTGAACAGAGATCTCACGCACACCATGAAGGTTCATAATACAATATTGAAAATAACTAAATAAGATTTTGTTTTTTTGGTATAGGACATGTAGCTTTTGCTGTTGGCAATATATGTACATTTTCTCTTGATAGCTATCTTGCTATAATTATGAAATTGTCCAAATAGAAATGAGATTGTTATATATTATGCTCTTATTAAGAACAAATTGAGATCAATTACATAAATTTCCAATTCTATTATATCTTACTTTCTTTTTAAGAGTATTCTTAAATTGACAATGTTGTGATTAATTATAGTTTAGAAAATTTTCAATCAAATCAGGAAACCTTTATAATAGATTTAAAAAAATACAGGGATGGATTACATTTCTCAATATATAAAATATTTTAATTTCTGTATATATTTATCAGTAAGTTATATATAACACCCTTGGAAACCCTAAAAGGAAACCTCAATCCCTAAAACCTACTGCCAAAACCCCTCTATTCTCGTTTTTCATTTTTGGTTGATTTCTTCATATCATTTTCATTTTCATTTATTGTTTTTGATTTTCTGTTTTTTGGTTTCTAGATTCTTCTGTAATCTTTCATTACTTTCTATTCTTTTTTCCTTCTTTCTTTTTTTATCTTCATTTTCGGTTTTTGATTTTGATTTTAATTTTCTACTTTCTTATTCCTGTTTCCACATCTTTTTCTTTGTTTCCATTCGTTTGTTTTTATTTTTTCATTTCTATGCCTCCTATCTGTTTTCATTTATTGTGTCAATCTTTTTTTATTTATTATTTTAGTTATTATATGATTTTAAATTTGGTGTCTACAGTCATATTTCTTATTGATTTTGTATTTTAACCTATAATTTTATAATTTTTGAATCTTTTCATGTTTTTGTATACTATTAAAGAAAATCATTTTAATTTTGAAAAATATATCAAAATTAATTTTGGTTAGCAAAAGAAGTTGCTACACCTAAATACCTTAAAATGACCAATGGGTAGTCTTGAGTTGTTTTGATAATTTAGTAGTATCGATTTCTAATTTTAAGTATTTTGGATAAATAGGTTTTTAGAGGATTTCAATGCTTTACTATTTGGTTTTTGATTTCAACGAATCAATTGACTTGATATTTCTTCAATGTTTTCACACCTTAAAAATTAACCTCAATTTGAATATAGATTAATTAAATTAAGTTGAGCAGGCACGTATAGATAAATATAAATCATCTATTTGTTCTGATTTTGGAATATGATTTGATAAATAGATGATTTCTTTCTTTTGAGTTTCGAATGTGATTTTGCTCTGTAACTGCAGATTTATTTTTGAGACTGAGTTATTGCATAAGACATTTTGAATTTAATATATGAAATTGAGGTTGTATGATATCTAGTTTGTGACAAGTAGATAACTAATGCTTTAAACATTTGGAGTAATCTAAAAATACATTTTATTTCTCCAAACCTAGTTATGTTTTGCCCTTACCAATGGGGTTAAATATTGACGATGTTGACATGTATTTTGTGATTAGGAATAAGTTTCAAACCATGTCACCAGTTATAGGATAGTGATTTTTGTTATATATATTTTGTGTAGCTATTGGTTGCTTCTAACCCATGCTAGGGTTTGTTTTGATTTTGACCTATGTCACAGGGATTAACTGTGGCAAAAGTATACTACAAAAGACCACTAAAATTGATAATCTTTGCGAAATTATATATGTTAGTTTTGTTATCTAAAGTGAAATTATATTTACCTCTATTATCTAGAAATACAATTTTGTAGAAAGCATATTTATGAATGAGATTATCCAATTTTGTTCTGATTTTTTTATAATTATTTATAATTTTGATATAAATATTTTAAAGTATACTTAATCCAACTAAAGAGATGTCAGTTATATACTGCATAGTTGTAGTTTTTTTTAATTTACTTCAATTTTACATATTTCAATATTTTTACATCCTCGAGGAATTAGATTCTACATGACAAACTAAAGCAAATTTTGAAATATATATATATATATATATAAAGGATTCAAAACAAGTATTCAATTTACATAAACAAATTAAAGCTTTAACAAGACAATAACTACATGACCCCAAACTTAAGATTTCTAACCAAATAGATCGACAACGGCTTCTGACTATCATCCCTTTCCTATTATTTATCTTACAAAGAAGGGAGAATAAAAATTACATTACGTAATCTTGGCTTAAACAAGGATTAAACTGACCGAAGCAGCTGAGTTAGGTTAGAAGCCCTAGCAAAATTGCCTTCTTCTCGTGCCTTGAGGATGTTGAACATGATACCAAGGCGAATTTGAGTCATAGCACTTTGTTGGATTATGTTGTTAGTTTCTTCCCTCAGCCTCTCACATTCTCCTTGTATTGCTTCGAATTTCGCTCGAACTTGCCTTTGCCCTTCCTTAATGCTTTCCTGCTCTCTGCTTATCTCTTCCATATCTGTCTTCATCCTTCTAAATCTGGTCGTCACACCTTTCATTGCAATCTTTCTCTGTCCATATAAGTTAGAAACAAGGCAACGAATAAGGGCTTCTTGCTTGTTTATTCTTAATTAACAGTTGATGTTGTTTACATATTGTTCAAAGTTTCTTATCAAAGCTCATATGAAATTTTAACTGATAAAAGCGGAATGTAAATTGTAAAATAGCTGCTGGACTTTCCCAAACTATTAATCAAAGTTCTATCAGGTTTCATAGTTTTGTTTATTCTCACCAAGCTTCACTACTCTCATTTCAATATATATATATATATATATATATATATATATATATATATATATTTCCTTCTTTTTTCTTTGAACTTTCTTCTTCTGCCAGATAGGGAGCGTGGGATCTAGCCCTTGTCGGCCCGCCATGACAGCACCTTAAATATAGGGCCCACTATGCTATAAAGTTACCAAAACTCTTGCTTTAAGTGCCAATTTTTCATAAACCTCATAATAATATAGTTAATCACATTAAAAATATATAAAAACTAAAATAATTAATAAAAATATATATATATATTCCCTCACTTCCTAAATTAAGATTATAAAATTTAATTAAAAATTTTACATTTCAAAAGGTTAAAGGAATAAAATTTTAATAAATTTTTTTTCTTAATTTCAAATAAAAAATCTTATTTGAATATTTAGCTTTAGGCTTCTATTAAGCCGTTTCTACCTAAATATAAAATGGGTCATTTCCTATATATTTAAAATTTTAAAACAATTAGTCACTCGGTTAAATGTCTCTTAAAATTGGTTTCTAAGTAGAGTTTCAAATGTTGGGAATTTTATCATTTTGATTGATTCTTTATTGAGTGTCTTATTCATTGAATCTTATGCACACTGATGTTTAATCAATTTTCATTTGGAACATCCTTTCTATACTTGGGTTTGCCTGTAAAATTCACCACTAATTGGTAAATAATTAACTTGTTCGAATAAGAGGGAGTGAAGCAAGACTCAAAATGTAAAAAATTGAATAATTTAAGATGAGACACAAATACACTAAAGCAAGAGAAGATATATAAGTGACAAATATACCTCATTCTCTCAAATAAAAATATTCTCTGAAGAAATATATAAAATAAAAAGATATCTAAAGCATTTCAAGTAACCAGTATAAAAATCAATTCCAAGCATATGAGTACTGTTAATTAGCCACCTAAGTTAACACAAACTCTTACTGAGACGGGAGTGGACTGGGTACTAAGGGGGCTGACCAGTTTTGACAATTTTGACAGGGTACTAGATCATACATTATTGGCTAGAGACTGCCTATGGCATATTCTGTAATTCCTTCATCAAAAGAATGAAAGTTTCGACAATTTTCAACAAAAAAAAGAAGAAGAAGACGAAGAAGAAGAAGAAGAAATTTGCATGACCATGAAAAGAATATTGGACCTACAAAGATTATACCTTTAGCCTGAAGCGTGGTCTCATTGTTGGGGTCGATGTGGTATTAAGTGCAGACATGAATACACTGCTTTGATTATTAAGCTAGCAATTGCAAAATGGTTGCAAAGCAACGTGCCTTATATCCTCTTTCCATGGATTGCATCCGAAGGAACCTCGCAAGATTCAGCCAATAATGTCCGTTTTTGTCTTCAAGAAAGGGACCTTCTGACGCGAAAGTGGTGTGTCGACTTTATCTTTATTAAGAAAGCTTTGAAAACAGGGTTCTGATCTTTGACGAGAAATACTATCATGTCCTTTTAACTTCCTCAAGAAGTAATTGGTAATTCTGCAGAATTGATCAACCCTCATAGCTACTGAAAACTACTAGACAAAAAATATTAGCTTTCTATTCAAGCTACCGGAATCTTTCTTTTGGTGATGTATTTAAGATTTTGCATGGGAGATGACTAAAGCATAATCAAAGAAAGTTATGAATTAGGTCAATAATTTGATTTAAAATAAAAAATAAAAAGTAAAACACCCTTATTCTTAAATTTTAGTCGAAATTACAAGTAAATTTATTAGTTTTTGAAATAGGTATTCTGTTCAAAAATAAAAATATCGTTAATATAATTTAAAAAAACTAAAATACTTTTTCTTTCTTTATTAATTTAAAAACTTATAATTATATTTTTAAAAAAAAATTAAAAATAAAAGGGTCAAGAAAGGGGAGCACTAGCTGGGAGGGGGAGGGGAGCACCAGATCGGTGCCCCCAAGGGAGGAAGGCAATAAATCTAGTGCTCCCAAGGGAGTCCCAATCGGGCTTCCCAGAGGAGCACCGGTGCCCCCATAGGGAGCCTGAGCGAGATTCCCCATCTAGGGAGGTTTTTTTTTAATTAATAAAAATATAAAATTATATAATAGTAGTTTTAAAAATTAATTAAATTGATGAAAATTAATGATTGATTAACGACTAGATCTAAGTATTTAACGAAAAAATTTTTTGAGGGCAAAACGTTCATTTTGATAACTAATGAATCTTTATGTAATTTTATTAAAATTTAAGAGGCAAGGGTATTTTATCCAAAAAAATTAATCATTTTTGAAATAAAATTATTTTATAACATAAAATGTCATTAACAATTTAAGTATAAGTTTTCAAATTTGCCAATATATATTAACATAAAGTAAAAATAAAAATTAACATTAGATTTTTAGATTAAGCATCACTAATAGACATAAAGTACAAAGAAAAATTAATATTAGATTTTCACATTAGGTATTGTAAGTTGTTTTTGACGTGATTTCATGCTATCAAATTTATCGATGACTAACTTTGAAAAAAAAAAGATAAAAGAAATGAATAAAAGGGTTTAGTATACATATGAGGGAAAAAAAGAAAAAAATGAAAAAAATAAAAAGGTTTAGTATACTTATCAAGGAGAAAGAAAAAGTAAAAAAATAAACATGACCAAATCCGAAAAAAAGAATAAAAGTGTTTAGTATATTATAAAGGAAAAACAAAGAGAAAAAAGAAAAAAGTTAAAAAAGAAGGAAAAAGAGAAAAAAGGAAAATAAAAGAAAAAAAATAAAAGGGTATAGTATACTTATAAAGGAGGAAAAATGAAAAAGAAAAAAGAAGGAAAAAATAGAGAAAAAAGAAGGGAAAAAATAAAAGGAGAAAAGGAAGAAAAAAAAAGGAAAAAAAAAGGAAAAAATAAAAATGACTAAATCCAAAAAACAGAAAAAATATAAAATAAAAAAGAATAAAAGGGTTTAGTATACTTATAAAGCATGGAAAAAAAGGAAAAAATGAAGAAAAAAAGGAAAAAATGAAGAAAAAAAAGAAAATAATAAAAAATTACTAAATTTGAGAAAAAGGGGAATAAGAATAAAAGGGTTTAATATACTTATAAAGGAGAAAACAATAGGAAAAAGAAGAAAGAAAGAGGAAAAAAGAAAAATAGAAGGAAAAAAATAAAAGGGTTTAGTATACTTATAATGGAGGGAAAAGAAAAAAGAAGGAAAAATAAAAAAGAAAGAAAAAAAGAAGGAAACAAGGAAAAAATAAAAAAATAAAAGGAGAAAAAGGGAAAATAAAAGGGTTTAGTATACTTGTAAAGGAGAAAAAAAAGAAAAATAAAAAATAAGGAAAAAAGAGAAACTAAAAAGGAAAAAAATTACTAAATCCAAAAAAAAGAATAAATGAATAAAAGGGTTTAGTATAAAATAAAAAAATAAATGGGTTTAGTATACTTATGAAGGGCAAATAAAGGTAAAAAAAAAAAGAAAAAGAAAAAAGAAGGAAAATAAGAGAAATAAAGGAAAATAAAGGAAAAAATAAAAAAAAATTGTTATACTTATAAAGGAGGAGAAAGAAAAAAGAAGGAAAAGGAAAAAAAATAAAAAAAATAAAAGGAGAAAAAAAAGAAAATAAAAGGGTTTAGTATACTTATAAAGGAGAAAAAATGAAAAATAAAAAGAAAGGAAAAAATGACTACATCTACAGAAAAAAGAATAAATGAATAAAAGGGTTTAGTATACTTATAAAAGAGAAAAAAAGGAAATAAATAAAAAGGAAAAAGAAGGGAAAAAAAGAGAAAAAAAAGGAAAAAATAAAAAGAGAAAATAAAGGAAAATGAAGGAAAAAATATAAAAGGATTTAGTATACTTATAAAGGAGAAGAAAAAGAGGGAAAAAAAGAAAAAAAGGAAAATAATAAAATGACTAAATCTTTAAAAAAGGAATAAAAGGGTTTAGTATACTTACAAAGGAGAGAAAAAAAGAAAAAAGAAAAAAAAGAGAAAAATAGGAAAATAAAAGAATAAAAATAAAGGGTTTAGTATACTTTTAAAGGAGAAAAAAAGGAAAAAAAAAGGAAAATAATTCCAAAATTTGAATCTAAAAGTATTTGAACCCAATCTTGAGCGAATTTAAACTTACAAAATAGAACTTAAGTAAACTTCAAAACTTACAAGAGCGAAAGATAAAAAAAGGAAGGAAAGAGAAAGTTATTTGAAGAAATGGAATGCATTGTTATTTTTTGAGAACAGGTCTATTTAAAGGTCGATGGCTCCCTTTGGTTAGATAAAATAAGGTTACAAGATAGTGATAAAATATCGTAAGATAAGAGATTTAATTTGAAGAGATAAGTTTCAAATTAAATCTAAATCCTAATCTTATCTAGTAAATCTACATCTAAACCTAGATATACAATAATAAATCAAAAAGCTCAAATCAAATTAAAATAATTTAGAAATAATTCAAACAAACTAAATCATCATAAAATTTCTCATCATCTAGCACTATAAATACAATGCTCCTCTAAACCATTCGATGAACAATGGAGAAAGGAGAACAAAGGAGAAAGAGGAAGATTTTGAAAATCAAAACCTCCAGAGTTCCACAAATATAAGAAGAAAGGTTATGAAGATCAAGGCCTCTACAATTCAATAAATCCAAGAAGGAATACTCTGAAGATCAAATCGCCTCTCTAGATATCCAACCTATAAGTCAAAGCTAAGTCATTGTGTCGTTCATTCAAGACCAAGTCATCATTAGACCCTTGAAACGAGGTCTCCATTTGTTTGTTCAAGACCAAGTCATCATCAGACCCTTAAAGCAAAGTTTCCATATCATTCATTCAAAACCAAGTCATTATTAGACCCTTGAAACAAAGCCTCTAAATTGTTCGCTCAAGATCAAGTCATCATCAAACCCATGAAACAAAGTTTCCAAATTGTTCATTCAAGATCAAGTCATCATAAGACCCTTTAAACGAAATCTCCAAGTCATTCGTTCAAGATCAAGTTGCAAACCCTTGAATCAAAATACGAAGTTCAAAATCAAGTCATATACACTGGAATCAAAATACGAAGTTCAAAATCAAGTTGTAAACACTTGAATCAAAATATTAAGTTCAAGATCAAGTCGCAAAACCCTTGAAACAATGTATGAAGTTTAAGATCAAGTCATCATGACCCTTGAAATGAAGATTAAAGAAATTAATTAAAGAAAATGGTTTACAATGATGAATTAGAAATATGTATGAATTATGGATGATAAATGGACGTAAGTTTCCCACCTTCATTCTTGATATTAAGTATGATGATTGAGTATTTTAGTCGAACATAATTCATGGTAAATTAGTATCTAAATTGTTGTTATAGAAAAAAAAAATGAATGCTTGTGTGAAGGTAGACGTTCCCACTCTTAATCTTATGATATGTTTTATATGAAAAAAATTAACTTGAGCTTATGAGACATGATTCTATGGGATAATTTGTGACATGATTCCACATACCATATAAGAAAATTTAGAAGTGTAGCATGAGTCTACTTAAGTTGAATATGTATTGATAATAAATTAAGATATGAGAAACAACTTTGTTTGAGAATATTTCCTAGTGCTTCCACACAATGTGAGGTAACATTCCACACTTGGTGGTTGGATGTAGTATGATGAATGATAGCATTTCCACATGGTGTGAGGTAATATTCCACATGTGGTGCCAATGCTCAATAAGATGTGTAAAGCTATCTCCACCTATTATAAGGCAAACTTCAACTGCGTGGTGGCAGTGCTCAACATAAGTGAGGCCGATGTACCACTCATAAAGGTCCAAATGTGGTAGCCGAGGTAGGCATCCTCCTTGCATACATGATTATTGGATATTACTCTTGTTGTTGTGATGCTTCTTGTGATTATTGCTTATGCTTGACATGTTTGAATAAGTTGAAGATTAAACTCTAAACTATAAGATAGCCAAGATAGATCAATAGATAAAACAAGTCCTAATGCATTGGTTGAGTTTTATGGACTGAAAATTGTTCACTTGAGTTTTACGGACTGAAAAATGATTACTTGAGTTATATGGATTGAAAACTGATCTCTAAATGTTATATGATTGAATCTTATTGGAAAATCTCGAGTATATGAGTAGCTCATATGATTTACGGAAAGATTGGAGTAAATTACCCATACCTTGAGTTTATATGATTAAGAATCATTTCTCTTAGAGAGGTTCCAATACCAAAGGTAAGGCACAACTTCTTTATTTTTCCTAAAAGGTTTTACATAAATGTTTAACTATTTAAAGTACTATATGTCTACGAATTACTTATTTCACCATCAAAATGAGACTGATTTATAACAACTTTA